TCGATTACATTTTTGGCCAACTCTGATACAAAGTAAGAAATTGATGAAATTTAAACAGAAAATGTTTTTTAAAAAAATGGAAAGTAATTTAGCTAGTAATCAGCTAAAATCCGAAAAGTTACATCAACACATTGTTTACCCTACTTACCCTAAAAAGTCAAAAATTTTAGCTGCCTTAGTTACAAAAAAAAATAATTTATAACACAAATTAGTTATATTTAAGTCATAAGAGTTTTCAAAATACAAAAGAGAAAACAAAGTAGGCTTACCATTCCAGATGCAATATCTCTAGCAAAGCTTACTCGCTGAGTCCATGGCAAAGTTTGATTAAGATCATGAATAATTTCTTTTAATGTACCACCACTGATGTACTCTGTGACTAGGTGCAATTTCTTGTCTTTATATAAGACACCAATAAAATGGAGTACATTTTCATGGCACAGTGATCGAAGTACTGCTACTTCTTTTAGAAAATTCTTTTGAGCTTCTTCATCAACACGATAAAGTTCTTTCATAACCATTACTTCGCCCGTTTCTTTGTGGGTCACCTTATAAGGAAACAGATGCTTTAGAAAAACTAAGTCAAAGAATACAACAACAATTATTATTTATGAAAGGAACATAAAATAGTTGGAAAAAAAAGAGGTAGTAAATTGAAATTTATGATAAAGGGTTAGGAGAGCTTAACTTACTGTTAGGAGGCTAAATATATATTAAATGGTCAAGTGAGACCCTGCCCTCCAACCAAAATTTAATTGGAAAGCACTACATATGAGGTTTTACAGCTGTTTTTCAAAAATAAATCTTGATAAACTTTAAAAAAAATATAAAAGAACATCAAAAGCATAACTTTACAATTGCAAATAATAGAGGTACTTTAATTCAAGATGTAAAAAGATTTAAAGTCTTCAGCCTTTTAACACTCCCCTAAAAACACGTTTTTACTAAAAGATATTTTGAATAAATGAAGATCAAAGAATTAATTTAAAAATTAAAGATGCAAGTAATTTATATACAGTAAAAAGATAATGAAATTAATTTTTACATAGAAGTTGACAACCTGCTATCATTTAATTCTATTCTAAGTTTCCAATTCAAAATATTCTAATTCCAGATATCATTCTTGCAATTTAAAAATATATGAAACATAACTTCTCAGTAAATTTTCATATTAAATTGATATTGTTTTAATTAATCTATCCTTAACTGATATAAAAACTAAACTGATTGCAAGTCCCAAAGCGAAGAAAATTTTTTTGCAGCTCTCAACCAAAACAGTATATGCATCCTAATGGTGGTAAATAAGGGTGGTAATAATTCCTACAGTCTGGTGAAAGTTTGAAAGTTACATTTAGAAATCTTAAATCTAAATTTCTTTTAATTATATTGTTATACTTATAAACATGGCATAAGTTTTTGTTTCTTCCAGAAAATGATAAAAAGCAAGATAGTTTTAAAATTACTTTTTTTTAACAAAACCGTATGAATCCTTAAAAAAATAATACAAATTTAAGTTTAAAAAAAAGTTAAAAATTACAGAATAGTCCCATAAAAGATTTCTGCAAGTGCATCAACATTATACTCACATTTTTGAATATAGCTGTTCCTTAAAAAAAATTACGATAATATTTACTCTATTGGAATATTATGTAAGTACCTAATGGAGGGTCAGGGGGCTGTGATTTTCTTGTTTTGGTTAACAAGGGTACATGAACAATGCTTATGAAAGACATTAAAATCACTTTTATAAATTTTTTTTTTAAATTTAAAAAAAAAAAAATTGCAATAAGTTTGGTATTCGTATTAGTTAAGTTGGGTAACTGGTAAGCTTCATATTTGAGTTTGGGGGGAAAAAACTGGAAATTTTTTTTTTCTATGAGTTTGAGGTCAGAATTTTTTAACCACAGTTACATTGTAAATTAAAGTATTTGCAAAAGGTTCTTAGGAATATATCACTTTTAAAGCATGTCTGATATTTCTAATAGCATACACTAATATGGAAATCTTCTTGTGGAATTATAGAGATTTCATACATATCTCCCAATTATTTTTTACGCTTAAAAAACTGGTTCAATTATTTTTAATACTGCATGTTAATTTAAAGTGTTGCGGTATGTTTGAAACATTCCATACCAACAAAATATTAGTCGTTCAATTTGGCACTAAAGTCAGCAAATACAAACTAATTTGATTCGGATAACAAAAACAAAAAAAGTTGAAAAGAATAGAGTTTTGTTTTGTGTATCTTGTTTTGTGTAAGCATCTTTTTGTTTAAATTAAATTCTGAATGTTAAATTACTAGAGTGAAAATCAGATATAAAGCAAAGGAGAGAAGGGGATAGTGATGTACTTTCATAAGCATGGGAGGAATTTGTGATTTGATTATTTCTGCTACCAAAGATTCAATATAATTTATTCACATAAATTTTGACTTTACAAAAACATAAAATTTGAGCCACTCCTTTATCATATGTAAAATGTTGTATACAATGCTTTATTTAAAAACCTGATTCATATAAATTTATAAAGTCTCCATTGAAAGATTTTTGAAAATTCAAACATATTTTGTATCTTCGAGTTGAGAGAAACATGGAACATAAGTTAAATTTTCCTTATCTTCATGTTTTTGAGGGAGAAAAGATATGAATTTATGATAAAAATATTCCAGGATATTGTGAACAGAATTTGGTGAAATTTCTTTTTAATTTTATATGACTAACTAAAATCTTGTAACATGCATTTTAATTCCTTTGTAGAACAAATAAAATATTTTAATTGAACTCTAAAGTTTTATATTTTTTTTAAAACTAGAAACATATTTAATAAAAATAAAACTACACATTACAAGATATTAGTTATACATTAAACAACGAATCCCCATTAAACTCAATGTATAATTTTTTTGAGACATTTGGACCAGAAATTTGTATTCTTTCAAAAAAGCAATAGTCATAAAACTCTAGATCAGTGGTTGCCAAATCAATGAAGTTTCTGAGCTAAACTATTGTTTCTTTAAGTAATACTGTGAGCTATCAATCAAAAACTACTATTCAAAAAATAAATATTTCATGCATCAACACAGTGAAGCATCAAAGCTAGCCAAAAGGAGTGATAATGTTACCTACTGAAAATGTCCCCATTAGCTACTTGCAGCTCCCCATGGTTGGTTTGGCAACCACTGTTCTAGATGGATGATATAGAATGTTATTTAGAACATAGAATGTTACTTTCATAAAATAATTGGAACCAAATTTTGTATTTCTTTAATTCCAGTATCTTAGGTAGAGTATAGGCATGTTCTTGTCTCCACCTAAGATATTTTCTTTAAAAAGTGAACATTTAATTAACTTTCTAGTTTTGAAAGATTTTCTTTAAATTTAGGCTTAAGAATTTTAAGAGCAACATAATAAATAACTCTCAGGTTGCAAAATCTTAAAGCATTAAAAAAAAGTTTTTTTTAAAACATATTACAGTAAAAATAGTACATTTCTTTAGACATATGTCGTAAAAAAAATAGTGTTTACATTAATGAGCACTGAAATCACTTATGCAAAAAGGATTTTGGAGTACTTATTTGAAATAGAATTTTACTTCAAATATTTGAATAGTCATATTTCTATTTCAAAAGCTGAACCTCATAATATACTGTAAAAATATGATTACCTGAAACACTTGGCCGAAAAACCCTTTTCCTAAGAGTTTTCCCTGGACTAGATCAGAAGCACGAAAAATTCTGTGATTCTTCGGCTCAACACGGAATGACTTTGTACGACTCAGATCATACGAGTTTTTATTGGAAGCAGATGAGTCACTAAAAATTTTAAAAAAAAACATATATTATGCTATAGCATAATTTATTTTATTTTTTATATTAGATTAGAAATATCAGATATTAAACATAATATCAATAAAAAGCAATCCAATTATAAAATTACCTTATTCATGCAAAAAAAGAGCGAATTTATCTTTCTTATCCTTCCAAAAAAAATAAAAAATAATAATAATAAATAAATAAATGTAAAAAAAATTATTTAAATCAAAATGCAAAAAAATTTGTTCTATATTTTAATGTTGTTATTTATTTACGTTACGTTTAATATCAACTTATGTTCACAACAATGGCACTGTATATTAAATATTAATTTTAACTTGCACATTAATTTTAACCTGAATACATATTTTCATTGCAAATATCTACAAAGTACTAAAAATAATTGTTCATTGAGTACTAAAAATAATTGTTCACTGTAGAGTTAAAAACATAAATAATAGAAATATTGCTACATATTTAAATTTAAAAAATTATCATATTAAAATGGGTAAAGTTTGTAACACTGTGAAAAATAAAATTCATAAAAAATAAATAAATCAAACTTATCAAAGGTGTTTTAAGGAAGCATTGGTTACTGATATTGATATCACTTAATGGGAGGAGCTCTATAAGTAATATTCCATTACATTAGCCAGACAAAAGGAAAATTTTTTTCAAAGGAGCAGTGAATTCAAAATAATAACAATAATAAATAAAACTCAGTAAGAGTAAGTTATAAAAGGGTTGTTCATTAAATAACAATATTATTCAAGAAGAGGGGAAGGCAGGCCCTGAATGATATCTTTCAACCCTTTAAAAGCATATTTAAACAGTCTAGTAAACTTTTTTTTTATTTATATAAAAAGTATAAACAACCAGACATAGTTCATGTTATTAAGGCCAATCACATTTGATGGCTGGGACACCTTTATAGATCTGAAGACCAAATCTCCACAAAAAAAGTAACTTTTTTAAAACCAGAAGGAACAAGAAAAAAGGGTCGTCGACTGACTAGGTAGTAGGACGAAGCAACACCTCCTAGAATAAGTAAGGTCTCAGCATGGATTAAATTAGTAGTCCGATGTGACGAAGTTAA